AACATAGGAGTAAATTCATGTGACATTGGAATAGGGAAATTCTTTTAGATATGATGCAAAAGCACAAACAATAACAAAAATATATATTAATGAATTTTATCAAAACTAAAAATGTTTATGCTTCAAGGAACACTATCAAGAAAATGAAAAAAGATAACCTACAGAATGGGAGAAAACATTGATAAATCATGTATCTGATAACAGATTTATACCCAGAATATGCAAGGAACTCTTACAACTCAATAAGACAAACCTGTATTTTAAATGGGCAAAGTATCTGAATTGACATTTCTCCAAAGAAGATATACAAATAGCCAGTAAGATGCTTAATATCATTAGCTATTAGGAAAATGCAAAACAAAACCACCATGAGATAATACTTCATCCCCACTAGGATGGCTATAATCAAAAAGACAAGAAATGACAAGCATTGGTGAGAACTCGGGGAAAGTGGAGTCCTCATGCATTGCTGCTGGGAATGTTAATTTGTGCAGCTGCGTAGGAAAACAGTTTGACAGCTCCTCAAAATGTTAGGTAAAAGCTTACCATTTGACTCAGCAGTCGCACCCCGAGGTAAATATCCCAGAGACATGAGTACATATGAGTAAACATCCGAGAGATTTGAGTACATATACGCCAAAACTTGTAAATGAGTGTTTACACCATTATTCACACTAGCCAGAAAGTGTTTTCACACTTTGGACGTTGTTTGGACAGTGTTTGAACATTATTCCCAAATATAGGACAACTGATAAATGATAAACAAATATGGCATATTTGTTTATAATAATGTCAATATTATAGTGATACATTATTTGACAATAAAAATAATGTCAATAAATGATACATTATTTGACAATAAAAATGAAGTACTAATACATGCTATAATATGAATGAATCTTGTAATTATGCTATATGAAAAAAATCCAGTCTTAAGAGGCCACATATTGTATGATTCCATTTATTTAAATATCGAGAATAGGCAAATCCATAGAGACAGAAAGTAGTTTAGTGGCTGCCCAGGGCTGGAATTGGTGGTGGGGGAAATGGAGAGTATCTGCTAATGGATAAGAATTTCTTTGAGCAGGGGTGATGGAAATGCTCAAAAATTGATTTGATTTGGGTGATGGTTGCATAAATCTGTTGACTATGCTAAAAAAAAAAGATTGAATTGTATACGTTAAATGGATTAATTATTCAGTATTAATTATATCCCAAAACTGTTAAAAATAATAACAAGATTCTTTGAATTAAAAGAAACACCATTGGACAAGTAAGTTTCAAACATAATACTGACCATAAATAAGAGAGTCCTGGGAGAGCTTGGCTGAAGTGTTAAACTTTCAATTTCATAGACTAAAAAACTTGGTGTGAATATAGGTGGGTCTGGAAGGATCCATATGGGGAACAGAAATATAGCTACAAAATCCAGTACTTCCAGACCCTCCTTTTTCTAACTTATCTTTCATGCTGCCACTGGAGAGGTCTTTCTAAAGGCAACATTTTGAGCAGTTTATTCTCTGCTCAAAGCCCTAATGGTAGCTTATTACCTCCAGAATAAGGTAATTACCCTCTGGTATAATATTGACAGCTCCTTATACCATTTGCCTCAAACCACTCCTTCTATCCCAGTCTCCTGCAATACTAATCAGTTTATGGTTCCCCAGACTTGTCATACTTTTTCTTTCTCTTTTTCTATTTTCTGAACATTCAAAACTCTGCTCAGAGGATTTTCCACATACATACTTCTTCGCCTGCCTGGTAAACTCAGATTCATTCTCTAATATTGGCTTAACATCACCTTCTTCTTGAAACATGTTGGCTTCAGACAGTGTGCACTGCTCCATCCTCTGTCCTGCCCAAGCGAGTTATGATACCTCATGTATGATAATTATTTGTTACATAATTGACTTCTACATCAGACTATCGTCCTTTCTTATTTGTATCTTCAGTGTCCAGAAAAGCACCTAATGAAGAACTAAATGGATGGATGGATGGATAAATTACAAATTAGTTACAAGTTCTCAATCATCCTTAATCTTACTGAAGTTTGAAATACGACAGTAATCAATCTGATGCCTTGCTAGCTAATGGGAATTTCAGAATAAATTTTAACTTTTCAGAAAAAATTTTAGAAATTGTAGCACAGCACCTTTATTGGAAACTGATCTTTTACTCTCTTTCCTAAAGAAAAAAAATGAGTTACTCTATGGGGAAAA